ACCTGGTTATTAATATCAACAGCACCTTTTGAACAAGAATAATCATAAAAAATTTTTGGTCTTGTAAATTTAATTATAGAAGAACCAGTATGCTTCTTAATTACACGTTTAACTTCATCAGCCTTTGTTGTAGTTGATGCAGTTGCAATAACACACTGTGTTTTTTGATCTTTTAAAGAAGCTGCAATTAAATTAATATTATCAATATTTGCAACTTTCGAAAAATAAGATCCATATACACTTTCAAGCTTTTGAACCATATCACGGGGTAATTAATTGGCCATTCACGTCTTTTTTTAACATGAAAGATACCATATAATCTATTTTGCATTAATGTAATGCAAAGCTTTGGGGACCCAAACCAACTATCTCCAATTATAGTTCGCCCACTACCAAACCATGATTGAGCTAATCGCAAAACATATGCTGTTGTACTGCCATAATCTAAAGCAAATCACTTTTTTTTTCAATTTCTTTATCTTCACAAGGCTCTACTTGAATAATAATATTTGTAAACTCATCTGCTAGTGTTTTCTATTCTTGTCCTACTGGATGTGGCTTACAGGGTATTTTACGACGATTAGGAATTTTATTCTTACTTCCTAACCATGAATTCATTGATTCATCAATGCACAAAGTTGGCCCGGGCTTTATAGCCTCAATTAAATTTTTATTAAATGCATTAATAAAACTTCGAACAGAATACAATGGATCAATAAGATTTGGAGCCTCTAATTCACATGCCATCATTAAAGTATGACAAGAAACTATTTGTTCAAATCGTGAAAGAGATATCCAACGTTGAAAATTAAAAGATACCAAAGGTTTTGTAAGCTCTTCACTTGCTCTCCAATAAAAATGTCGATCAGCCACAGGAAAAACAGACATTAGCACCCATAAACCTAACCACCGCATATATTCACTATAATTCACATCAACCCAATTGGGGTATTTCCTTCCACATACGTTAATAGAATTAATTACATGTTGCTTAATATAATTAAGTGGAAGATATCGACACAACAACTTAAGTGGTGAACAGTAATGTAAATTGGATCAGCGTAGTAGGCGCAGCACACATAGATTTAAATTTGAGCATATATCAATGCTCCCCGTATATATAACACGCGTATAAAATTTTTCTTTGTGCATATTTTTTTCGCATTTGCACCAATAAAAGTTTTTTGAATTTATAGCACTGGTGGCGAAGCTAGTCTAATAAATTCAATATTGACACTACACTCCTGATTATATGAGGGGTTAACTTCACGCTGTTCAATAGTTATAGATTGTTCCTTTCAGTTTTCCACAGCAGAAAGATCAATTGTTTTGATTGTATTATCATTTTCTTCTTCACTATCAATATAATCATCATCCGAACTACTTTCACCATCATCAGAATGTTCTAAAGAAACTATTGGCAATTTATCATATGATGGTTGTCCTTCACTAACTAAAATATGTTGTTTTTCATAACGCAAATTATCTGCAAGAACATCAACATTTACATTTTCAAGTTGATCCACATCAATCCTATATTTTAAGCACCCACCTTCATTTAACTCCCCAATAATCGTACTATAAAAATGTTAATTCTTCCAGTTACTATAACGATTTTGTAAGTACTGTGATACTATCTCACTTGGCAATACTAATGCCTTAAAACTAACCTGTACTCTAACAGTTATTTTACTTGATATTCTCAGCATTTTGTATGTTCAGTATTTTTTTTTTTTTTTTTTTTGAATATTTAATTTTCCTATATCACTAATTCACTTATATCTTTCTACTTTGCTTCTTATACACTGGTGCTTATACCAGTTTCACCTTATACCTTTACGCAAGATAAAGTTTATATATATAAAAAAAAACTAGGAATTATATACAAAGTATATATGTATATATGTCATACATTTGTATGTGCTAAAAAAAAAGAAGCGAATAACTCTATTTATTACTTTTTTTTTTTTTACAATACAAGTCTTGACCATCTATTTTTTTTAGATCAATACTTTGTCGTTATATATGTATTACTAATCCATGAATTAGACTATTCTAAATCTGTCATTGATCATGATCATGATCACAATCACGATCATATGATTGTGATTGTGAGTATGATCTGATTACGTAATATACTATGTGGCCTATAAATTAACCAAAATCTTATAAATTTTGAAAATAAGACTTCTTAAATACATTAAACAAATAAATTTATAATCTAAGCATAGAGTAAATTATTTTTTTTTTGGTTGGATATAAGCAGTATTCTTTGGAAAGTATAATTAAAATTTGATTAGCGAAGATGATCAAATGTAAAAATACTTTCTAAAAAAAGCTTGCTTATGTCTAATTTGTAAAGATACATGGTTATAAATTTAGTATCATAATAAACTACATGTACTTAACAATGTTTTGTAAAAGTTTTATACAATTATGAATAATTCTTGTTATTTTATCTTCATTTTAATACTATACTAAATTTAGTACAATATACTAAATTTAGTATAGCTTATAGATACCTATTAAGCAATCTTAATATAATCACCTAAACTCTAAGTACACACTCTAACTCTAACTTATATACTTACCTAATCCTACTTTAACTTAAATAAACTTAATAATTTTAAGTTATTGAAATTTATTGGAATTTTACTGTTAGAATTTTTTTGTCAGAATCATACCCTGTTAGGATTCTGTTTATCAAGATTTTAACTAGCACCTACTTATTAATTATAAAAAAAAATTTTTTTGTTATTTTTTTCATATTATTAGTAATCTACAAATTAGCCAGAGAATAATCATAATGAAATATGATGCAGATTACTCATAGAAATCGAGGCTTTGTAAATGTGGTCTGCATAAATCTAAACCTTTTCTTAATACTAATTTAACTACTCTTTTAACTCAAGAGACTTTTATAAAGCTTGTTGAGATGTATATAATAGTGGTTAAATCATTTAAATCAGCCTGGTAGATGTCAAGATATTTTTAAAAAACCTTTCTTTAACTATATAAATTTTTTTAAAACAATACTATTGTTTTACAAAAAAATTTACATAGTTAAAGAAAGATTTTTTAAGGATATTTTGGCATTTATTAGGCTAATTTAAATAATTTAACCACTATTAGATACATCTCAACAAGCTTTACAAAAGTCTTTTAAATTAGAGAGTAGTTAACTTAGTATAAAAAAGTTTTAGATTTGTGTAGGCCACATTTGCAAAGCCCTAATTTTTATACATTATGTTTTACTATAATTACTCTCTGGCTAACTTATAAATTACCAAATAATTATATTTATTTTAGTATTTAAAATTAAACTCAGCAAATGACTTCCTATTAATCATAATCATAAATTGCTAGATAATATTTTTATTGATTATACATAGTAATCGCTAGAGTTTGGAACACACTTTAAAAATTTGGCATGCCTTTTTATACTCATGTAATAATAAACTAATTGTAAATATAAAAACAATAATTAAGTAGAGAAAAAAAATTAAACACTTATATACTAGTATGCTTTAAGCTAAGACATGCTTCTTATATCTATAAAAATATTCCTTTTCAAATTATATAATTAATATATAGGGTCTTTGCCTTGAAAATGACCTTATAGTATTATGTATAGCAAGGTCATTTTCAAGGCAAAGATCTCATATAGTTTGCAACTTTCAAAAAATCTCACATATTGTTTAGTATATATATATATGTTTTTGCCTTATCTAAACCTATTAGCCAATCAAAATAACTTTAAATATTACATGACAAGGGCATGCCCATGGGCATCTCTCATGCCCCTGTGCCCTAACCCTAGTAATTACATAAAAAGTCATCAGACACGTGAATTTAAACCAATTATAATACAGAATCAGTTATAACGTGAAAACAAAACAAACTGCCAGCTTTTTCAAAAAATTGACCATAACTCAAAATTTTGATTATAAAATTACCTTTCATGTATTAACAAAAAAAAATTCCTTGCAAAATTTTGCTATATATAAGCCTCCTCTAACTCTAACCCAAATGCTTACCCTTACCCTAACATCAAGAATTAATTTTTTAATCGAAAAATACATTAATGATCTGTGGTTTAAATTGGCCAATGGAATTTTAGCGCATATCATCACATGTTCGCGAAATTTTATGCAATTACCATGTTTAATATTGCAGTCTAGGAATATACCATAAATGGATAGTGCCAATCATACCTTTTATTGAAATATATGATTGATCAATTGATTCTGGAAATTTCGAAAGCATGATCACTAATTAATCATCATAGCTATACGTTTTTTATTTCTTTTTATTTAAACAATATACAAAAAAATAATTATAAATTTATGTTCTTATGTACCTTTCCGAAAACAACTTACTATGCGGGATTATTGGGGATCGTGAAAATTCATTGCTTTTACTATCTATTTACATATCGTTTAGCAACAAATAGATATATAAAATCTTGGCACGAATACATGCAAGTGTAACAACCAATCAAATATAGAACCTTGCTTGTAGATCTTTCTAGAACCTGATTTCCAAATTTGATATATTCCTACTGCAAATGATTGCCACACGTGCCGCAAAGCGGCACGTGCTCATTTGCCAAATTACTGTTATTCGACAATTTTTGCCCAAATATTGTATACTAATCTAAAAAATATTTTAAAACCATTATTTGCTAATTTGAAACCATTATCAATTTTTACAGGTTTCTGTAAAATATATAATAGTATCAACATAGCTAAAAATAATTCATATTTTCATTTAAAAAAGTATTCGACATTAATATTAGCATATAATATTTTTTTCAATTTAACACTACCGAAACATTTTTGATAAAGCGATATCAAAATTTTTATGATGTAGAATACTTTCTCGCAATTTTTAAATAATTATAGATAATCAAAGAAAAATTTGTTTTTACTTTTAACTTCTAACATTCTTCTGACTCACACTCATTTTCCGTCGACTATGGATTCTTTAATTATTAATCGACCGAGTTATTCTTTAATTTTTTACCTGCTAGATAATAACTTAGGTCGACTTTTAATGTACTGTATATTCAAACTTATTATAATTCAAGTTTGCAAAAAAAAAAAAATCTTAATTTTATACTTTATGTTTATAAAAAAGCAAATTAAAGTCCATTAAAGTTTCATTTATATTCGAAAATAAAACCTGCAAGCTCATTAAAATTGCTTTAAATACAATATATATATATATATCTGCTCGAAATTTTTTTAAATAACTTTTC